GCGTAGTGCACATTCAAAAAATAAGTATAAGTGAATAACATTAAGAATAGGTTTTGCTACAGTGAAATTGATGTTTGAAAAATAGGAAATCGAGAATTTCACTAATTTGAATCGAATTGAATCCCACCATCTGCTGTGGCAGAATTCGAACCCGGGTCCTCAGAACATTAGCAGAGTTTCTCGATTAATAGTCCAGCAATAAAACCACTAAGCCATTGATGTCCCTTGCCTTCTCATTAATTTACAATCTAGCTTACCGACTAGTATCAAAGTATGAGACATGAAGACTTTTGCTTCTAGCCCTCTCTTCTGGCTGTTTTGTAGTCACAACTTTATTGTGTAACCTATTTAAACTGACATTTTGACTGTCACTTCAATGACTTCCATGTCAATTAGCATAAGACCTCTTTCATGTACAATCTGAGCAGGTGAAATATTCAAATATGCAGAAAAAGTGGCACTAATTGTAGTCTCCTATTAGGCAAGGGAGGACAGAAGGTAATTCAGGATTTCTGTCAACAGACCAATTGATAGGGATATACCTTCCAACCAGTTGAAGCAATGTTATTGGATGAACTGTCTGTGTGGTGTAGCCATGATGTGGAGGTGCTGGTGTTGGACTGGGGTTGGACAAAGTCAGAAGTCACACAACACCCGGTTATAGTCCAACAGGTTTATTTGAAATCACAAGCTTTCGTAACATTGCTCCTTCATCTTCACCTGATGAAGGAGGAGCACTCTGAAAGTTCGTGACTTCAAATAAACCTGTTGAGCTATAACCTGATGTTGTGTGACTTCTGACTTTGTGTTAGTGCCCTTGTCAATCTGCAACTGTTAAAATTTTATGCAACATTTCATCTATCACTGCATGATACCTCTCACAGAGTCCACTGCTGAAAGTCCTAAAACTTATCATTAGCAACTTCCCTCCATTACCAGTCAGAAACTTAGTTGGTGCCTCAAGTCTAGTCCTTATCAGTTCTCCATGACTTCATCTACTATCAACTCGTTGTCCTTGTCATTTATTACTGCAGAAAGACTAAACTCCCTCCTTAAGTGGCATTGTGGATCTACCTACCAAACATGGACTGCAATGGTTCAAGAAGGCAGTTTACCACCATTTCTCAAGAGCAACCAGGGATGGGCAATAAATGCCGGCCAGCCAGCAACATCCACATCCCACAAGGGAATAAAAAAAATGTGCTTAGCATAAGTATAAAGTGTTAATCAAAATATTTCTGTCTGCGTTTTATACAATTATGGCAACAACTTAATTAAAGTCATATGCCAACAGAAGGTTACAATAGGATGTAGCAATGGCCTCTGATATTTATTACAAGTTTAACATTCTGTAAAAACCAAAAGAAATGCAGATGTCGTAAATCATGAACAAAAACAGAAGTTGCTGGAAAAGCTCAGCAGGTCTGGCAGCATCCGTGAAGAAGAATCAGAGTTAACGTTTTGGGTCTGATGACCCCTTCCTCAGACCTGAAACGTTAACTCTGATTTTCCTTCACAGATGCTGCCAGACCTGCTGAGCTTTTCCAGCAACTTCTGTTTTTGTTCACATTCCGTACTCGTCGTGTTCACAAGACTTGTACATTCCTCAGCAATGACAGCGTCCTTTAGCAGGATTTTAAATTTTTCACAAGAGGCTGAGTGGATTGTCTGTGCAGCCTGAGGACAATTTGTTTTTTTCCCTCTGATTTTAATCATGTAATGCTATTAATTCTTAAACAACATTCTGATGGCAAACATAAAATTTTGATAGAGGGATATACTAACATGTTAATGGGTAAACTGCAGGTCCACTAACCTTCTGCTCCACATCCAGTGTTATCTGCACATTTTTCATGGAGGGCTTACTTAACAGAAAAAGTATGTCTCCAGAGACTACGTCAGAACTAATAAAGTGGCTTACTTCATTTATTTTACATGGAATCCATACTCTTTTAATTAGCCTCAATGTGTTAACACCACTGAAACAAAACAAGTGGAACTTTCAAGCTCCCCATCTTGACATCGATTCTCACTTCTGTCTGAACCTTGGATGTGTTCCACATATTGCCGATGTGCAACCAGTATCTGACTCTACACAGTTAAATTAATCCACAAAGAATACAGTTGCCACCGAACTCAATCTTTTTGTGACTAGTACAGTCCCTTCACAATAGCCATCATCATTATCTCCAGCCTCCAGATTCTCTGTGTCATGCCTATCTGTTTTGGGCAGTTAATCACATGATAAAATTTTCAGTCAGATCTAAAGCAAGTGTTAACATTCCCTATGCATTCCTGGCCTGCATTCATCTACTATTGCAGCTTCAATCCTGTCATCTGTTGCGGTAATTGGAACTGTGCAAAGTGCTCTCATTCTCATCCCTTCTGTCTGTAACTGTTCCTTTGTACGTGCACTGGCATCTGGATGAGCTCAAAACGTTGCAGTCACGAAATGTCCCACCCTTGTTGCCAATGTGGGATGTTCCATTTGTGCTATCAAGGCTGCTATAAATGACTGTGACTGCATCCCCAGAATTGTTTTTGAGGCAAGTACATCCATTCCAAAAGAAAATTTCCCTTCAAGAATAAAGCCACAATTAAGACACAGAGTTTGTCCGTACGCAACACTGAATAAGGAATCTCCAAACTGAGCTTCTGCAAACTTTTACACAATTTGTTAAAATCTGTGATATTTTTGTTCATACAATGATTGTTATCTTTGGAAATCTAGGCATCTAATAGATCAGCTCCCTGGTAAATTTCACCTATATTTCTGGTAATTATCATCCATGAATCCCATTAAAAGATCCAAACTTCTCAATATCCAACGGATAGGTAGCCAGCTCACAAAATACTTTTCTTCCAATTTTACTTTCGTCAGAGATTGGTCATGTCAAGGGCATTCCCTTTTTCCTCATTAGTTTTGAGGCTTTGGGTTTAGCTATGACATTGCATTTGTTCCTGCCGAGAGTGATCTGAGACAATGTCCTATACAACGCATAGAAAATACAGTCAGCTGAGCTTGCATATTCAGCCCACAGTGTGGTAAGTACGATATTGGACACTAATCTGACCACTCAATAAAGAGTGAATAAAATAAATTGTTTCTTCAACACTAAAGAAATCCTAGCTACCCTCTAACCATCAATACATGCCAATCATGAGGTATCCAAGCTTGCTTTAAGGAACAAAGATGTTGACCACATGAATAAAGTGAAACCAACGTGTTCTGTAATATTTATCAGGGAAATTTAAATTTGAAAAAACAAAAATCCAAGCCACCTTTGTGCTCTCCTTGAGCCTCATGTAATGGCAATGATTTTGTGCAGGAACATTTTTTTCAGAGCTTCCCTGTATGACCAGGAAAGTCTTTTATAATCCATCCGTACTGTGCTGTTGTCAGCTGATGGTAAGTCACATTGCTGAAAGGTCCCCTCCATTCTGGAATCACACAAGTCTCCTCTGCACTTCAAATATTAATTGTAATCATGCAAGAAATGGGAAGAAACACAAACCTTAAGTTCCACTTCCAGGCATGGCATACGACAAATCGAATTCCATGCCTCGGGTGAGGTTTTTACATTCCAGTTAGGGACACGTATCAAGAAGACTCCCAATTACACTTGTAGTCCAATGACAAAGCACACATCCGAAGTAATTTCTGGATGTGAGTGTTTTAATTGGACAGAAGTTGCTTTTGTCAACCAAATAACAGCAGCAACTGTGGAAGTGAGGTAGAACCAGTTCGGGAGCTAGTCTGACTTGAAGAGAGAAGGGCGACCACTTCCATTCATTAGGATTAGGGAGGTTGAAGATAGGGTAGCATATCCCTAACCACCACGCCCACCTTCCTTCATGCTACGTTTGACTCCAACAAGTGGACAGCTTTCCACTTGGCTTTCTTTCATTTCAGCTTTGCCAGGTTTCCTTGATGCTACCCTCAGTCGTATATTGCCTTAGTGTCATATGTAGTGACACCTCAGTAATTCAGCTCTTTTGTCCAAGTTTGGACCAAGGCAGTAATAAGCTTTGGAGCTGAAAGGTCTAGATAGAACCCAAACTGAGCATCAGTGAGTGGGCTCGTGTTGATCAAGTGGTGCCTGCCTTTGCTCAAATCAAACATTGATAAGATTCTACTCTTAAAGAATAATTCAATAAATGTACAGCAAAAAGAACCAGCGTTAGAACTCCTTTTTGTACCCCAGTGTTTCATTGAACAAAAAACTAGGAAGATTGAATCTAAATGGCAATACAGCCCATTTTGAGCAAATCTTCCCAAATAAGGTTCTTTAGATTAAATTGTACTACAACTCTGAATGATTTTACTCTTCTAATTCATTCCCCTCTTCTAATGGTATGATTCCAAATGTTTCATTTTAGTGGTTTGCTCAAGTAATCTATTTTTTCTTTGTGAGATTCTAAACGACAATTAATAGGGGCTACCAAATTCACATAGAATGATTCACAGGTAAATCCAATCCTGACCTCAAAAGTGACCAGGAACAAGGAAACTTTGGGTTTTGGGTGCTGTGAACATGACAAACTGAAAATGAAGTACGCATTAAACTGGATTGAATACACACTGTGATCAGTTGAGCACTTAAATTTTACAGGTACTTTAAATGACAGAACAGTGTAAGGAAGCTGCCAACTTGTGGTGAGACTGGAGGACCACTGGGGAAATATTTAAACTTCATACGCGAGAACTGGTTCTTGTTCACTAAAAATGCACCATTCTCAAGGTTTCTTGTTCCCAACCCAGTCACTTACAAAATTACACTTTTCTACTCCAACAATGTTTTCCACATGACATCAAGTCTGTGGACCATCTTTTCTGTCTCAGTTGATCCTTCTTTTCAGAATTAAAGGATTTAAAAACCCAACCTTTCTGATGTATAAAAGGGGTCAGTTTCTCTCTTGCTGTCCTCAGTCAGCACCAAGTCCGACCTTATGTTCCTTCAGATTGGTTTCTCTCTTTTAATTTGCTTTACAGTGCTTACCCAAGTCTGTCTTCTTCTGTCTTGCGTAGATTCAGATCTCGTTGAACAACATGCAAGACATGTTGGGCTTCATCTTCTGTTAGTTTTGACAAGTCTAGCTTCCTTGCCATATTCTAAGTATTCCCTTTGCCTTAACAGTGTCAATTGTGCCAGTTCCAGTGGACAGAGTGCAGAAATCTGTATAAACATATATTTCAAATCTTTTCATAAGTTGCAACAAGACATACTCTGGTCCCCCTGTTTCAAACCTTTACAAAGTAATAGGAAATAATTGATCAGCTCAAAATGCCCATTCCTTTTTCAGTGATTCATTCATCTTCCCACTATATCCTTCAACACTTTCGCTCATCAAAGACATATTTGTTTATGCCCTTGGTTCAAATACATACCCTGGTGGATTATTACAAATCTGGACTAACCTTTGGGTGTACAAACCCACCATTTTTTATCCCAATTTTTACTCTTCACATTTGTCTATTTCAGTCCTCCACTTGAGTACATAATTTGGTTGGATCAGTGTGAGTGTTCATGATGCTGAATTTCAATCATTTTCAAGTCTTCTGCTACTCAAGTCCAAGATGCGCTGGTTTGGTGGATTGGCCATGCTAAATTGCCCATAGTGTCTAGGGTTGTGCAGACTCGGTGGATTAGCCATGGGAAATGAGGGGTTAGAGGGATTGGGTGGGAGGGTGAATCTGGGTGAGTTTCATTTTGGAGGGTTGGTGCAGACTCAATGGGCCAAATGGCCTCTATCTGCACTGTAGGGATTCTATGAAAATAAACTTAACCGTTTAAAATTTTTACCAAAGTTCAGACATCAGAACCATCAGTGTAATTTCTCTCTATAACATCACAAGGACGATAATGTTCTTCTACCCAGTAGCTGACTAGAGGCAGAGTAATACCAATTTTTTTTCCTTTCTTGGTTTAAAATGTTTTAGGAGTCTCTTTTAACAACAACTGTGTGTTACTGAGGGAGTCAACACCAGAATGTCACATTTTGCATATACAACTTATGTCAGAAATTCTCATCTGCTGTTAGCATAGTTCATGAATTCATTAAAATTAACAGATGGAGAATATTGTACAGGGCCTCACAATTTACTGATCAATACTTCAGGCAGGCAAGGTTCCCTCCTGGAGACATGCATTTGTGAAAACAAATCCTCTATGGATTATTAGAGAGTTTAAGATATTTCTTTTGCTGAGAGAGTCTTTACAGAATGACTCTGCAATCATGATTCAGAATGATCTCATTAGCATGCGTGCAGTTCCTTTCTGCTGTTGCCTTGCATAAACCAATCCATGGAAAAAACACTTTGGCTTCCACAAGCTAAAAAAACACATCAAATATTTACGATTTTGCTGCTTCGGTCCCTAAGGATGAAGATGAATTAACTGGGTCTGTACTCACTAGGTTACCAAAAGACTAGGGTGCAGGAGAAATCTCCCTGAAGGAGAGTGTGGGTTGAAATACAGCTCTGACACTGTACAGCCAATGATCTGACTATTGAGGGGTGTTGCTCTCCACTTGAAATGTGAAATCAGTAGATTTATCCTTGGGTATAAACGATTTCATTTACTCTTGATGTTGTAAAATTCAATTTAAAAGCATTCATTTGAAACACAAGGCCTCAGATTTTTGCACAGTTGTGGATATCCCATGCCTCATCCAAAATGCCTCTTTGACTGTAGTCCTGTTCCTATTTCTGATGGATCCTATTTTCAGTGGTAGGGGAAAAGGGGCAGGATTGATTCACAGATGGGATGTCAAGTTCAAACGGATCTCATTTTCTCTGGAGCAAAATCTGTTTCCTGCAGTGTGTGACTTACAATTTTTTAAGAACAGACACAAATGCCAATAAAAGGTGGATAAGGGCTGAGGAACATTCAAGTTAGAAAATTCCCCTACTCTTAAATTTTGAAAAACAAAATGCCTCTCTATCCCAAAAGGAGAAAGAAACTAGAATAATGCACAGTGAAGAATATAATGGCAAGAATGTACCAATGTGTGAATTCAGGGCAGAACCTGAGCAACTAATGCAATGGTAGGCAAACACTTTGTAAGTATATTAAAGTCTGACAATGGAAGGCGACATTGTAATGCTCTCGATTACAAATTATGTACATGCCCCTAATTCTGATAATTTGCATGGTCTTTGAAAAGTAAATGTGCACATTATCTATGAAATTAATCCTTTATTTAAAACATACATATGGGCCCTTATCTCAAAATTAGGAGCCAAAACACAAACATCCATCTGTAATCCAGAGGTTCAATAACATTTTCTATTACCATAACATGCCAACTAATGCAACAAAGCTTATCTGATATTAAGAATGTCCTTTACCTTCCTTTCATTTTCCTTCTTGCTTGAGGTCCTTTTTTTCAATTAAGAATCAAAGCTTATATTGTGAAACACCATCAAAATTAAAAAGGGCAGGAACAAATTGGACAGAAATTAAGAAGCAGTTTTGAAGTGACTTAAAACCAAATAACTTCTCAGGGGAAGATCGAGGGAGTTAATCAATTCCACAGTTATACATTGGAATGATGGGATATTATCTGAATTCAACCAATCTAACCTGGTGCTTCTGCTCCACTTCAGCCTACCCTTTTTGCTCGTCTAAATCTATTAGAATAACACTCTCTTTTTCTGTCATATGTTGTCTAACTCCCCTCAAATGCATTTGTACTATTTTCTTCAACAGTCTCTGTGGCAGTTAGAGTCTCATTCTCACCATTGCCAACAAGCTAAAGTTGTTTCTTTCAAATTCTCCATTGATTTTTGTTGACAATCTTATATTGGTATTTAGTAGTTTTTCTGCACTGTAGCTAAGTTTATAAAGTAACTAATGTTACTGTGAGACATTTTGATCTGAAAGACATGATACAAATACAAGTATTATTTACTGAACAGATTTAGCACAGTGAGGAAAAGCATGTGTCCAGCATATGACAGAATCAAATTAAAGGAACTCTTTATTAGTAAACTGCAGCAGATGCTTTCTAACTCAAAGAAATCCTTTCCAGGATAAATTTAAGTTTTTTTTTAATGTTATTTACTACAAATCCTAATTTTTAAATAAATAATATTACTCAAAGCACTTACATTAGATAATTCAGTTGGTTGTTCTAATTCTTAAATGGCCACATCAGAGAAACATAGGAGTATTTAAAACCATCTGAAACAAAAGTTTGAAAACAAATTAAATGTAAATTGTTTAGTCATGTTCCGAGTTGGCATTATGATAAAACTTATTTATGCAGCTCCATTAAATTCCCACAATTACAGAAACCTGTCAGAATTAATGGGTTGAAATTTCACTGATGGTAATTTTTTTTATTCCTTCACAGGATGAGGGCATCACTAACCAGGCAGCATTTATTGCCCATCCCTAATTGCCCAGAAGGCAGTTAAGAGTCAACCATATTCCTGTGGGTCTGGAGTCACATGTAGGCCAGACCAGGTAAGGATGGCAGTTTCCCTCCCTAAAGGACATTAATGAACCAGATGGGTTTTTCCAACAATCGACAATGGATTCACGGTATTCGTTAGACTCTTAATTCCAGATATTTATTGAATTCAAATTCAACCATCTGCGGTGGTGGGATTCGAACACGGTTCCCTGGAATGTTACTTGGGTCTCTGGATTAACAGTCCAGCGATAATACCATTAGCCTCCCCGTAACATGGTCTAGCCATGTTATAGCAGTCAATTTATAGCAATGCATTTTGTACTCAATGCTCTTATTATGAGTCGTTTAAAATTCTTTTCTCTATCCCTCTCAAATTCTCCTTCTCCAAGATTGTGGCTTACTGTGCGATATAGGGCAAAGTGCAGAGGCAGCCTCAAAGAACTGCCACAACCAATACAAAGATTGTATTCATGCTATGAGTATTGCTAAGCACCTCTGTCTAGCCATCTCACCAGCTGAGCTAACCAGCCCCATATGTCCCATCCAGCCATTTCATACTGTTATTTCATACCCATTTCATTCCTAGTTATTTTCTACTCATCCAACCAATTTACAAATCATTTCATACTCAAGCCATTTTATTCTGTGCCATACCATGATGTGTTTGAGAGGGACTCTCACAAATGAGTCAAGAGAAACTGTTTCTATCTTACATGTGTCGAACACCAGAGGACAACTTGGACAAAGACATATTTCACTGACAATAATCCTATGAATCCTCTTATCCTAATCCTTTGAAAACTGTGAGGACTCATTTGAGAAAATTATCAGATCCAAAAATGAAACCACTCATTAAATTAATCTTCACTATCTGATGCCAATAACAATTAAATTATCAGATACTCAATATGTCTTCTGAAGAAGAGGTTTTGGCTAACCAACATGACTGAACTTTCTAAAGAGGTTGCAATGTTGGTGAAGAAGGGTAACTTGATTGATATTGCCTATTTAAATTCTCAGAAAGCCTTTGATAACGTGTCTCATTTAAACATGCAGTTTGCCTCTTTTCAAGTGATAGATGATACAGATATTTTGATATAGGTTGACAGGAGGGACACAGAAACAATATCCAGTTTAAAATAGAGATAACAAGGTGTAGAGCTGGATGAACACAGCAGGCCAAGCAGCATCAGAGGAGCAGGAAAGCTGACGTTTTGGGCCTAGACCCTTCTTCAGAAATAACCATGCTGCTTGGCCTGCTGTGTTCATCCAGCTCTACACCTTGTTATCT